ATCAACTTTTGACTATTCTCAGTTTTTAGCTGCTCTAGCCATCAACTTTTGACTATTCTCAGTTTTTAGCTGCTAGCCATCAACTTTTGACTATTCTCAGTTTTTAGCTGCTAGCCATCAACTTTTGACTATTCTCAGTTTTTAGCTGCTAGCCATCAACTTTTGACTATTCTCAGTTTTTAGCTGCTAGCCATCAACTTTTGACTATTCTCAGTTTTTAGCTGCTAGCCATCAACTTTTGACTATTCTCAGTTTTTAGCTGCTAGCCATCAACTTTTGACTATTCTCAGTTTTTAGCTGCTAGCCATCAACTTTTGACTATTCTCAGTTTTTAGCTGCTAGCCATCAACTTTTGACTATTCTCAGTTTTTAGCTGCTAGCCATCAACTTTTGACTATTCTCAGTTTTTAGCTGCTAACAATCAACTTTTGACTATTCTCAGTTTTTAGCTGCTAGCCATCAACTTTTGACTATTCTCAGTTTTTAGTTGCTAGCCATCAACTTTTGACTATTCTCAGTTTTTAGCTGCTAGCCATTGTGTTCTAGATCGCACTTTTACATTTGTATACATTATTTTCTGTCCTGACCTCTTGGAGGATTAACTTAGTTTTAGAAAGGAAGACGTCTAGGTATGGGACAAAACCCAGAGAATTCTGGGAAATAGATCAATATTATTTCTACACTAGGTCTGTTAGGTTGAATAAAGATTTCCATTAGATTAGTCCTGAGATTAATAGATTAGTTGAAATTACATTGGCTATTTTAATCATTAATGAGAAAATGAGCAGACCTAAGGTAGAATTAGACATTAGCTAATAGCTTCCTTAAAGAAATAGAAAAATAGAAAAGCCTTGAAAGTTTGCCTTAAAGTTATTTTTAATTTTTTTTATTTTATGGCGCCAACATTTTTGTTTTAATTATTAAAGTAAATTTTTGACATTGTCACTGGTGGTAAACTCAAGAAAAAAATTGAAATGGTAATTGAAGCTTGCCTTAATAGCTTGTCAAAACCAATTGACCCAAAAACGTGGTTTAAAAACAACAACTTTTTGTTTTCCTTGATTTCTTAGATTTCTTGAACAGAGTGAGACGTTTGTTTTAACTGACCTGTATCTCTTGTGTTACATCTCTTCTGTTACGTCACATCTTTTGTGTTACATCTCTTCTGTTACGTCACATCTTTTGTGTTACGTCACATCTCTTGTGTTACATCACATTTCTTGTGTTACGTCACATCTCTTGTGTTACATCTCTTGTGTTACATCACATCTCTTGTGTTACGTCACATATCTTGTGTTACATCTCTTGTGTTACATCACATCTCTTGTGTTACGTCACATCTCTTGTGTTACGTTACATCTCTTGTGTTACGTCACATCTCTTGTGTCACGTCACATCTCTTGTGTTACATCTCTTGTGTCACATCTCTTGTGTTACATCATATCTCTTGTGTTACGTCACATCTCTTGTGTTACGTCACATCTCTTGTGTTACGTCACATCTCTTGTGTCACATCTCTTGTGTTACATCTCTTGTGTCACATCTATTGTGTTACATCACATCTCTTGTGTCACATCTCTTGTGTTACATCACATCTCTTGTGTCACATCTCTTGTGTCACATCTTTTGTGTTACATCTCTTGTGTTACATCTCTTGTGTTACGTCACATCTATTGTGTCACATCTCTTGTGTCACATCTCTTGTGTTACGTCACATCTCTTGTGTTACATTTCTTGTGTTACATCTCTTGTGTTTCATCTCTTGTGTTACGTCACATCAATTGTCACATCTCTTGTGTCACATCTCTTGTGTTACATCTCTTGTGTTACATCTCTTGTGTTACGTCACATCTCTTGTGTTACGTCACATCTCTTGTGTTACATCTCTTGTGTCACGTCACATCTCTTGTGTTACGTCACATCTCTTGTGTTACATCACATCTCTTGTGTTACGTTACATCTCTTTTGTTATGTCACATCTCTTGTGTTACGTCACATCTCTTGTGTTACGTCACATCTCTTGTGTCACATCTCTTGTGTTACGTCACATCTCTTATGTTACGTCACATCTCTTGTGTTACGTCACATCTCTTGTGTTACGTCACATCTCTTGTGTTACGTCACATCTCTTGTGTTACATCTCTTGTGTTACGTCACATCTTTTGTGTTACGTCACATCTTTTGTGTTACGTCACATCTCTTGTGTTACATCACATTTCTTGTGTTACGTCACATCTCTTGTGTTACATCTCTTGTGTTACGTCACATCTTTTGTGTTACGTCACATCTTTTGTGTTACGTCACATCTCTTGTGTTACGTCACATCTCTTGTGTTACGTCACATCTCTTGTGTTACGTCACATCTCTTGTGTTACGTCACATCTCTTGTGTTACGTCACATCTCTTGTGTTACGTCACATCTCTTGTGTTACGTCACATCTCTTCTCATGTGTAACATCACATCTCTTGTGTTACATCACATCTCTTGTGTTACGTCACATCTCTTGTGTTACATCTCTTGTGTCACATCTCTTGTGTTACATCTCTTGTGTAACATCACGTCGTCATGTTCACATTGTCTTGTCACTATTCATTATTTTAAAAACTATTACTGTAACAATTATTTTACATCTGATATTTCAGCATGGTCAAATCATATAAGGTCACCTATAGTTTTAGTTTTAAAAGTTTCTCTTTTTATAACATTTTTTTGTCAATGTGATTATTCCCTAAGCCCTCCTTTTTATCTACAATTTTTTAAAAATATATATTTATATATGTTGATCAATTAAATGTTTTTCACAACTTTTGAAATAAGTTATTTTATTTTTTGTCACATATTACAAAAATTTTAAAAAATCTTTAAATTGGTGCTGTAATGTCATATTGATTGGGGGAGGGGGAGGAGGCTTAAAATGTAAACATCAGGCATGAATGATGTACATTTGCATGCCTGACTGACAGAGAAAGACTGTTTAGGCATAAAATATATTTAGATTCTATTGATAATTTCATCTTAAAAAATCTCGACTTGGTAAGTTAGGTAGCCATGGCCTATTCTTTCCCTCTCTCTGATACAGGTTTAGAAACACTCTTAAGATCAGAGGGGGGTGGGGGCTCACTTGGAGAAGACAACCTTTGATCTCACACATGTGCAGAACTTGTAAATTTTTGGGTTAACTAGCTTGTGTTTTATTGCTAGACCACACCTTCCAGCTCAAGGTACTTCACAACCATCTCAACCTTTTAAAGAGCTAGTGAATGTTTAAAAAAAGCTATAAAAGAATGGTACCAACAATGCTAACTACATTGCTGACAAAAAAAAAATGCTTTTTTAGCTCCAACTAAAAAATATTTAATTTAAAAAATGTCAATGAAGTCTTTATGTTAATAAAGTTTTTTTTTTTTTTTAAACGCAGAAATATAACTTTACATTCAGGAAAAGCATTGCTGCTAAAATGTGTAACAAATTTACAAGCGACCAATGTTATTAAAGAGAGGACTATCATTCTCAGTGCATTTAATAAGCTTATTATTATAACGTTAGATTTATTAGTTTTATTTTATACTTTTGTGTGATTATCAATTTTACTTCCGTTTTGAAAAAGAATTTGTACTTCACTTATTACAAGGTTTTATTTAGTTCAGAATTTCAGTCTTTCTGTGGATCAAGGATTTTGAACCTAAATTTTCCAAATGTGATCTAAAATGGATGGTTGGAATACTAAGGGAGATACAGTAAATAGAATGGTAAGCAAGGTCTAGATTAAATAAGGAATATTATTTTACAAGCTTTTACATCTGGTCAGCTAAGTAATCAGTGTTTAGTTGCAAACCAAAGCATAATTTTGTATCAATGATACCAACACGAAAAAAAAAATTGCATCGACCGGGAATCGAACCCGGGTCACCCGCGTGGCAGGCGAGTATTCTACCACTAGACCACCGATGCCTCTAATGTAGATATCATTTTCATTCAAAAAATAATTACATTAAGAACACCCTCGTAGGCTAGATAAGAGCAATGATTATAGCTAGCGATCCCGTCCCGTGCGCTGCTGGGGGCTGATGCAATAGTTCAACATGGTTACATCTATGCGTTACCAATTGTGTATTTTTAGACGATTGACGCTGTTTTCAAAACCTGCGTTATTTGAATGTAAACACCTGGATCTGAGTTGTTATGACGCTGGTTTGTCCACGCTACAGACCAGACGCCCGTTGCCTGAAATATAAAAGTTTTGATTCTACCTTAGTTTAGTCACCCTCCGTCATGGTGAGGTAAACACACTCCGTCATGGTGAGGTAGACACACTTTGTAGTGGTAAGCACCCTTCGGCGACAGCCCATGTGTCAGGGGCGTCGCTACACTACCTCAGGGGCGCCGGGTGCTGCCCCTGGTTCGGCTTAATTATCCTATGCCATGCGCCACCATGTTTTTTATCGTACTGTGCTCTATAAAACAGATGTGGGGAGCTCAGGGCGCTAAATCGCACCCTGCCGGGGCATAGCTTCTCCAAAATAAATTCCCAGCAGAAACCTTTCTCTGAGTGTTCTTATATTTTTATAGAACAATAGGATTTGTTTTCTATAGTGACCAGAAAGATGCGCAACGGTAAAGAGCGCAAAAAATGCGCAACGGAAAAAGCGCAAACAGAAAGTTGCGCACACAGAAACTTGCGCAAACAAAAAATGCGCACAAAGAAAAAAGCGCAAAATGAAATTTGCGCACAAATTGTTTGGACACTAGGGGAGATAAAATTAAATTAATCGATAGACTACTATATCCAATAACAAAAGAGAAGATAACTAGCTAGACTGCTAAACGCTTTAAACCGAGCTGTCTGATAGTGTTTAAAAAAAAGTAGAAAAAAAAAGTAGAAAATAAAACACATATAAAAATCTTTATGGCAACAAGCTTTTAAATGCACTGAAAATAAGAAAATAAAGAGTATTTGCTTTCTTTAGTAAAAGTTTTTGTCGCTGAAATATGTAAAAGATTTCACGAGCGACCAAGGTTTTTTTTATTTGTTTTATTATACATATAGATTCAATAAAGTAATATAGGTGTAGTAATTTTTTTTTAATGTAAAACTTATCTACATGTCTTTCTTTTCGGTCTGGGATGGGGTCTGGGGTACGGAGAAAACAGAATGATTTTTTGTAAACATAATCATACTGCAAGTCTGTTATTTAACCAGTGTGAAGTAAGGCAACACATTTAGAGGCGCGGGGTAGTCCTTCAGCCACTGCCTGCCCTCGTACAACTTGCCCGTCGTCTCGTCCTTCCACCGTCCCACGGGGAGATAAATATCACGTGACACCGCCCCCTGGTCAAGGACCGGAGCCACAAGGACGTCACTCCCTAGAAGAAACTCCGTGTCGGTACTCAGGGCCTGATCGTCGTATGGATCTAACCACCACAGCGGTCTGTTGATCGGTTCGCCTGTCTTACGCGCATTCTCGGCTAGTTCGATGATCTTGTCAGCGTAGTCTTCATGCAGCTTCACCAACTGTCGAGCCAAATCCACGTACGTGTCGTTGTACATCCACGGCACGATGGAGAACTGCAGGATGGGCATAAAAGTCGTGGCTTGCAGCCATCGGATAAACAGCTCCGCGTCTGGAAATCCTCCGTAAGCGTTGCCTCCAATCATGTCCGGGAGAACAAATGGGTAGCCCATAAACCCAAAGGTCAGAGCACAAGGTATCAGTGTTTTGATGCCGAGTCGGTGGCTCCAGTTGCTGTCCCTGTCCAGCATGCGAACCATTAGACTCGACTCCTGACTCCTAAACCCCACCCTCAATTCCTGGCGTCTTTGGTCGTCAGCCATGAATGTCAAGGTGCTGTATTGTCTCGTGATGTAGTTGGGCGTGGCCAGAGACTGGCTGAGCCTGTAGGTTCCTGGAATCCAAAGAACTTCTCCGGCATCGAATTTGAAGGACGCAACGTTGTATTTGTCCTTTAAGTATTTAGTTTTGTCCAAATACCAGCTGACAGCTTTCGGGTTGGTAAAGTCCAAGACTCCCGCAAATGACCCCTTCCACCAACTGACCAAATGAGGATCGTCCGAATTCAAATTTTTTATAAGAAAACCTTCCCCAGAAAGTTCACGGAAAGCATCAGAGTCATTGTTGAAAAAAGGGTGCATCCAAACTGTGACAGGGATTCCCATTCCATTCAGTTTCGCAATGAGGGCGGATGCATCAGGAAATTTGCTGGTGCTAAAATTAAAGTCTCCGTAATGTGGGGTCCAGTCGTCGTCGATCTCCAGTTGTGAGATGTTGAATCCGTGGTCGGAAATTTGTTCCGCAAAGTCTAGAACCGTTGACTCGTTGATGTCCGACTTGTAAGTAGCCCATGTGCACCAGATGGGGGAGCGAAATAGGTCGACCGATGGGACACTTCGCGGCTTAGGAAAATATAACTCGGACATGCCTTGCCACATCGTAAGGACGTTTGGAGACTGGCAGACGTCGTATTTTAAAAACGGTTTTGGGATGCTGAAAAATGGAGTGTCGCTGCCGACTTTCCCTCTGAGACACAACATTTCCGAAGATTTTTCGTTGACCCCGAGGTACAAGGGGGACAACTCGTCCACATAGATGCCAACTCCAGCAGACGACAGGAAAATGCCCTCTATAACACCGCCGTAAGCATCCGTGGCATACGTATCACCAGTGATGAATGGAGACGAATTCATCTCTAGATTGTTCATGGGCCAGAACTGATAGGACTGCTCAAAGCCACCGTACCAGTAGAAATCAGCCATGTCATAGCAGTCTTTAGGCGTTTCTTGCTTGTCTCCTGTTGACGTCCACGTAACGGTCATACATTCATAGTCCACATCATATCGCACTAGTCTGATGAATCTGTATACAATCTCGAGCTTCAACCCCGAATTCCACTCCATACAAAGCCCACCATCTCCCCCCTTCCCTTCATGACGACAGCTGACCGCGTCTGACGTGTCCATGCCTATGGCCAGCTGACCTCTCAGCTTGTCTGCTACATCACCTTTCATGCTCAAGGCGACCCCGCTTCTGGTCAGCTCGAGCTGGATGTTCTCGTTCTTGCCAAAAACGATAGCGCTGCGTCCACCTCCTTCGTCCTTGAAGTGCTTCTGCCATATGTAGACCCCGACTCCAGACAGAATGCCAATCATCAGCATCAGACATGTGAGAGAGATCAACAGGTGGGCTTTTGATGCCATCTTCTTTGCCTGGTTTGACAGATGCAAAAATGTTCAAATAACATATACACCAAAAATATTCACATAACATTTACACCAAAATTGTTCACATAACATATACACCAAAATAGCCAAAGAGCTCGTATCTCAAAGCAGTTTTACCTATTGAAATTAATTGAAATGCCATTAATCCTTTTCAGCACCCAAAATGCCATCCCAGTTGTATTTGATACGTGTTTTTTAAATACAAAAATGTATTTATACATGACAAATATTCTCTAATCTATAAAGCTCAAACGGATTCTGTGGCTCTGTGTCAGCGGACAGTGGGTGGACGGACCCTTGACAATAGAGAGATAAAAAAAAAAAAAACTCGACTTGATCGCCATAGTGTAATACACCTAAAGTGTTTATTATCTTAATTTATAGCTTAAGAATAAAGTGTATGGTTTTGTAAAAAGAAGATTTATTTTCCAAACTAAATATTTTAATTGACGTCACGTGGAAAAAACTTAAGTCAAAGAAAATCGTCCTTCACAAAAATGTAAATAGTGTACAAAATACTTCATTTTTTCCCCTTTATTGCTAATTAATTCCCTTGATAGATCACAACATTGTTTTTTACGTCCCTTAAAAAAACATTACGTCGCGGAAATTAATACTTTTATTAGTTTTTTGTGTTAGAAAAAAAATTACTAATATATTATAATTTGCGTGTATCGATAAGTGCAATTTGGTAGGTAAAGCACGAAAATTTAAAATACTACCTTTTATTTACTTTATACACTGAACGTACTGTTTACTAATTATTATTTTTAATCAATAACAGTTTAGAAGCCGCTCATAAATATCCTCTATGTTTATTTATATCTTTGCAGACAAGCTGGGGATATTATAGTCGTTCACTAAATCAGGTTTATCCGCCGGCGCCCCGGCAGGGTACGATTTGGCGCCCTGGCCCATATTGTGAGCGCTATGATGCATACGTTCGTTCTAAACAGTGCGATAGAGGTTACTATTATTTTGAGCTATTGTTTGCGTTTTGGTTTGCGTTTGTGTTTCTATTAGTATTTGCGTTTGCGTTTTCTATGTTTGCGGTTAGGTTTGTGTTTGCGTTTGTGTTATGTTTGCGTTGTTCTTTTTCTTTTTTTGCTGCGTGTTTTGATTTTCGTTTTTGTGGTAAGAGTTAATTCGAAAAGTAATATATTCTTAAACCCGGGCAATGCCGGGTATAATTATGCTGCTTAATAAACACACAAGTCAAGGTCCTTTACAGATAGGTTTTTCCAGAAAAGCAGTGCAGGCCTGGCCGGCTATTTTAATAATATAATAAAAGATAATGCAGAGAATTAATTTAGATTTTACCAGCTTGTATTTAACTTGTTTCCCAAGTCGGTCTATCTGTCTTAGATAGAAACGGGAGAGCTAAAATTCGGCACTTCTAACCAACCAATTTCTCTGAAATTCGGCACGTGGGTCAAGACCCGATGACAATGCAATATGACAGTCATTTTAATTTAATTGGATGACCAATTCTTTTTTACGAATTAATTAACATTTTCTAAAATTAGTAGGTAGCCTTATCCTACTATTGGGAACTAGTATATGCGCTATGTCGTGTTCATTTGGTGCGTAATAGTTTTTAGTCATGCAACTCAACTATACATTTTAAAGTACTAAAAATGCATTAAAAACGTTTTATTAATAAGCTTTTATATTATAATGCCCTAAAATGGAGAAAATAAATGATTTTCTATAAAGATATAATAATACACTACTATTTAAATTACTGGATTGGACACACACTAAGAAGAGAAAAAGAAAAGAAAAGAAAATATTGCAAAACATGCTATGGACTGGAATCTCCAGGGAAAAAGGAAAGTTGGTCGGCCAAAGAGACCGCGGAGAAAAAACGGTAGAGGAAGAGGCAAAGACCGCTATGCTCACGTGGGCACAGATAAAGGGAGCAGCCCAAAACCGAGTCTCTGCAAATGTGTAATTGCAGCTATTTGCTCTCCTATGGGTCACAAAGGAACGATGATGATTTAAATTTCGAGCACTTCTAACTGACGGATTCGTTTCAAACTTGGCACAAGAGTTAAGACCTGATGGCAATGCAATCTGACATCAAATTTGACTTAATTGAATGTCTATTAAGTTTTTTAGCTCAATTTCCATTCTGGAAAATTGCGTTTATTAACTCGTCATTTCTGGGAATGTATGGATGGATGTGTGTCCGCAGCTTTAAGTCGTATCTCCTCCTCAACGAAGCAATATCAAGGACTAGTTCCAAAAGCAATTATGTTAAGCAAGTTACGAGGATGAACATAGGCCAAAAAAATTCCGGGTTTCTTTCATGAATTTCCCTGAAAAGCCGAAAAACCTCGAAAAAATGCAGCTTTAGGCCCATATCTTGGCAACCAGACCACTTAGCGACTTGAAACATGTACCAATCGATTCCTGCCATAATTTAGAACAATATTGCCGAAGAAAGTTTTTAAAAATATCCTTTCGTTCGGTCACAAAAATGTTTTTGAATTAATTAAAATTTGGACCGAATTAGTAGGCATTTTTATCCAACCACACCACACGCGTCATCACGTTCAATAGCTGCGCCATCACCTTCAATGGCTGCGACATCACGTTCGGTAGCTAGGCGCGCAATGGTTTTTATTCATGTAACTCTATTGTAAATAAAACATGTAAAATACTGGAAAAAAAATTAATAAAAAACGTTTTAATAACTAACCAATGGTTTTACTAACCCTGCTCTTGATTTACGCTACAACAGAGCTATTTTTAGATAACATAAGGAAATTGCGCTTAAATGTCACAAGACTTTTTAATTAACTTGTTTAATGAATTAATTAACATTTTCTGAAATTAGTACCTACTAATATTCCGCACTTGTATACGTGCATTATCATATTCATTTCGGTGCGCAATAACTTTTAGTCATAAAACTATTGTATTAACAGTTGAAAAAAAATGCATAAAAAACGTCTTAATAACAAGCTTTTATGTAATAATGCACTAAACAGGAGAATAAAAATGATTTTTCTTAAATATATAATACACTAATATTTGAATAACTAAAAAGAAAATATACTTCCATTAAATAAAAGATAATATATACTAAAGCATTTTTTTATATAAAATATTCCAAGAAAAAGCCCCCTCTTACTTATCTGACCTATTTTCTTTTAACACAAAATTAAATCGTCGCTTAGTTTACCGATCCCATATACAGCTTTTTTTCCAAAAACATAGCTTCGCCTACTCTGATTCTAATTTGTGGAACAATCTTCCTAATAAAATAAAACTATCTAGATCTGAAAATATATTCAAAACTAAACTTAAACAACAATTACTGTATTAATGACCTCTCTGACTCATTGCAACATTTCTCATTCATCAATTATATTCTTATTTTATCTCATTTTGCATTATAACTATGTAGTATTATTTCTTTATTCTACATTTTTAGTGCATTGTTACTGCTATGTCTTTACTACGCATTTGCTATTTCTAAATGCTGTCATTAAATTGTTGTTTTATTTGTTTATTTTTAAACGGCCAATGTGAAAAAGGACTCCGTGCCTACTATTGTAACCGTTATTGAATAAATTGAATAAAAAATTGGGTCTCTTCTGAAATTAATCCAATAGATAAAATAGTGACTCACGTTTTTCTTTATTGTTATTTAAATAGGTGTGTATCATTATATACTTAAAGTAAAAATTATTTTCTCCCTTTTAGTAAATCGTTACATACAAGAATGTTATTAAGACGTTTTTAATGGGTTTTTTACTTTCTCGTATATACGAAGAATAGAGAAAGTATTGTAATCGTGCACAAAAATAACATGAAATTTTGACAGTTTTCACCGTTTTACTCCTCAGTTCTTCATCACATCCGGAGTATAGAGGACTTATTTTAATCAGGCAAAAATTATAAATACAAATATATAAACATTTTGGCGTTTTATGCGTTATCGAGTCGTAAAAACTGGACTTTGCAATTCTGTCCGTTGTCTGTGTGTGTGTGTGTCTGTCTGTCTGTCTGTGTGTAAACACGATAACTTGAGTACCGTTACAGCTAGGTTGATGAAATTCCATATATAAATATTTTATCAAAATCGTAGATCCGTATAAACTTTTGAGCGATTTCTGATAACCGGAAGTGGTACTTGTTTTACTTTGAATTTTTCAAAAGCCTATAACTTGAGTACTATTTCAGATAGAAAAATGAAATTTCAAGTAAAAGATCTAATTCTCTACCTTCTTTCAAATTTTGAGTAATTTCCGTTGATTGGAAGTACTAATTTACGCTATTTCCGATTTCTCAAAAAACTAATGTAAATGAAAACTAATAATATTCCGCACTATTATGCACGTTTTATTTGGCGTTCACAGGTGTGCAATTCTTTTTTCTACGAGATTTTATTCTATTTTAAAAAGTTTAAGTATTTAAAATGGATTAAAATTCCTGTCTATATCCCGAGTTCCCGTCCCCTGTTTTTTTTTATAAAAGAATATTCGAGAAATTTTAGGGGAGATCGCTGCCGATTTATTGATAAAGTTTATTTTCCTAGAAAATTAGCAGACTTGAGCTTATTGAATATGTTGGTGGTGATGTAGGCCCAGTGTGTGATGGAGGAGATTCACTTCATTCGCTTACTGTTAATAGTAAACTCTTTTGGTACTTACTCATTACATTCTAACGCCAGTATTTATCTCTAAACTTAACGGAACTTCAACTTCAACAAAAAAATAGTTGAATTTCAATTGCACTATATATTTTTGTTTCGCCACGGTTTCCCTACTTTTAAAATAAACCTGTCCAATGAGAATTGTGTTTTCCTCCCTTTCAGAATAATTTGGAAAAAAGTTAGGTTAATGTCATTAAATATCTCCGTAACACAATCAGTTGCAACTATTTTAGGATGTCTCTTTTCCATGAATAGTTAAACCCCTCTCTTGATATTACTCGTATCTTAAATTTTGCTCGAATGTTATAAGTAAGCTTTA